TGAGTGGAAGGGCCGCTTTATTGACTCCAGCCCTTAGGCCATGGTGCTCTGAGTGGAAGGGCTGCTTTATTGACTCCAGCCCTTAGGCCATGGTGCTCTGAGTGGAAGGGCCGCTTTATTGACTCCAGCCCTTAGGCCATGCTGCCCTGAGTGGAAGGGCCGCTTGATTGACTCCACTAGGCCATACTACCATGTTTTATAGTCAGATTGACGAACACAGGACCTAACTGGCTGCTATAGAGTTTTTTCCCTTCTTCTGTCCATATGTGACCCGGCACTTGGGACGGAGTGTACCTATCCCATGACAATAGGGCTTTGGCATCGAGTCTAGAATTGAGGATAAAATAGTGGAGCCAAATATGGCATTGGACGCTGAGGCGTGAGTGACTGCGCAAAGTTCAGCGAATGTATGAATAGATGTTCATATATATGTCTATATATATCTGCAACCAGAACATTCTTGAGGAAGGCTATGGAAGTGGAGAGAGATGTCGTGGAGTGAGTTTGTATTCTAGAAGGAGATTGAAGATCATGAGACGGGCAGCAGTAAATAATGCAGCCTGATATCCATCTGGAGAGTCTTTGCTTGGAAATTGGGGATTAGTTCTGTCCGCAATTGAGAGAAAGTCTGGGAGATTTCCTGAAGGGCTTAGTCCTATCTAAATAAAAGGCTAATGCCCTCCGGACATCATGTGTGTGTAATGACACATCTCTTTTGACCTGGTGTGGTTTAGGAAAGAGAACTGGAAGGTGAATAAGTTGGTTTATATGGAAGTCCAAAGATATTTTCAGCAGGAACTTGGGATGTGGACGTAGTGTGACCTTGTCTTTAAAGAAAAGTAAAGGAGAGTATGCCATTAGAGTCACTATCTTCCCTACTCTTCGAGCAATAGTAATGGCCACTAGAAATGTGGTTTTCATAGACAGGTGTAAAAGAGAACAGGTGGCCATGGCTTCCTGGGGGGGGGGGGGTCTCATAAGACATCTGAGTACAAAGTTGAGGTCCCATGCCAGTGTGGGGCATTTGATTTGTGGAAACAGCTTACCCAGTCCCTTGAGGAATCTTCTTCTTGTTGGATGAGCAAAAACAGAAAACCCCTCTATCATATGATGGAAGGCCATGACA